TGCTAAGTCCCCCTTAATTACCAGATTTATTTCTTAAATTTATTTAATTTTGTAGAGTTACCTAAATCTGTATAATATATATTTAATTTTGAATTTATTCAATAGGTTTTTTACAATTTGGTCATTTTAGTGTACAATAATTCTAAAAAAAATTTGACAGAGTTTCCCCATATATCTGATCATAACCAATTTTTTTAAACCTGCATTTGTGATGAAAAGCACATATTCTACAACTTTACCATACTAAAAGTAGTTTTTTCTCTTCAACTACAACCATAAAGTATATCAACCATATGCCATTGTCCTAAATAACTACATGATATTCAATTCATAACAATTAACCCCCAAAATAGTCCAAAAGTTCATACTTCAAGCATGATTACTGGAGGTCAAGTAAAATATGAAAAGATATCCTAATAAAAAGTTAAAGCTAGCAGTTAAAAGTACTAATAGAAATAAAGGCAACCATATAGAGTGTGCAGATAACCAAGCAGATAACCAAGCAAAAAACAAAACTAAGGAGCTGAATAGTCTGGATCGAAAACAGGATGGTATACATCATCTTGAGGCGGAAGCTGCTGCTGCTGATGTTCAGGCACAATAGGAGAGGTCTGTGTAGAATCAGTAGAGTAGGTGACAGGTGTATTCATGCGAAGACCTGAGCCCTAATTATGTGAAGGCTGTGGTGAGGCAAATGGCTGATGACCTGCATGGGGAGAGATGCCATAAGCAGCTAGAGCTACTGCAACAGACTGTGCAATTGTTTGGCTCATATTATTCTAGGCTTGGGTCATACTATTTTGGGCTTGTGTCATCTGGGCTAGCTGTTGTTGCATCATAATAATTTGTTGCCATTGTCTTTCTAACTCTTCAGTTTGTTTTGCCACCACCTCAGTGTGGTGTGCTTGCTCCTCAACAAAGTCAGACATCATAATCGCTGCCATCAAGTTGTCTCGGGGTGGCCTCTTCCTGTAGCTAAATCCAACATCCTCTGGATTTACTTGAGAGCCAATCCCTGGCATGAAACTGGACGAGCAACCTCCAATAGCCTTAACCCATGCCTCATGATCCATGCGTGGCCACGAACTAGGATCGGAGCCATGGGTCTCTAAGCACTCCGCTATATAAGTATCTTGAAAATTAAAAAATAATAATAATAATGTTAGAAGCAGTTTGAAAAAAATCTATAAAATAAGTAGACTTTGCTAAATAATTTAGATTAATTAAATAAATTAATTTGACACTTATAACTATAAATTTTATAATAATTGATATATTATATATACTTACATGTCGGTGCTTTGCCTTTTCATTTATCCACATCGGCTCTTGATTCGTTGCCACCTTCTTTTTGAAGGTATGTGTCTCCTTGAACTTCTCTTGATGTGGAGGTTGCACACCACCTCTAGCTTCAGTCTGTATTTCAAAATATTTATAATACAATATATTGATTAGTGTAAATTGACATAATTTATTAGTAAATAAAATTTAATAAATTTAATTTTTTATTAATTATGCTTGATTACCATCCGCATCTCATGGATGCCAAAGCTAATTGGCCCAGTGGTGTGAGTCACTCTCTCCCCTGAATTCCTATTCTTTGCTCCCCTTTCTTGAAGCATCTTATATTCATCAGAATCCCAATAATGTAGTAGCTGAGACCATAAATGAGGTGGCATCCAACATGGGATATAAGATGGGTCCTTCACCCACTTTAACCTCACATCCCTCATATTATCACTCCATCTATGCCTCATACAATTTATGAATGCATTTCGTACATGGAGATTATATGCACGGTCCCACTGGTAAAGTGTCTACAAAATAAAAAATGAACAATATTAAATGTGTAAAAAAAAAAAATTCTAGTTAAGTAATTAAATTATTTATTTTTATTAAAAATTGCTAAATCCATTCATTTTATTTAATTTGCTAAAATTAAATCTTGCTTTGAAACAAGCGTAAATTTCATTAATCTTGTTGTTGAGGACACGATCAAATGTGAAATATGGGCCATCAAAACGTGACTTCCATAAGGCAGTGATAGCTCGAGGAATGGATGGATCAACAAACTGAAGCTTATCATCAGTAAGCTTAACCCAGGTCTTACTCTCTCTATTCTTTGGAGGGCATAGACCTTTCAAATTTCGTCCTCGTCCTTTTTTCCCCTTCGAGGATGAAGGGCCCTCAGTATCATGATCAGATGTCAAATGATCCATATCCTCAATCAATGGATCACATCTCGTCTGCTCTATATCATGAGCTATGCCACTACTAGAGAACACCTGCGGCTGGTCACGATTACGTTGCCCCTGGAATCCTGAGGAAGAAGATCTCCTCTTAGCCAAACCTGTCGGATTTCCAGAAATCTTGAAAGAGAAATAGCAAAATAGTTATTAATACATGTACACAAATAATGAATAATAAAATTAGAACATTCATACAATGATGCTATTTTAAATGAAAAATATACAACTTGATAAAACAATATATATATATATATAAATTTTAATACATATATTTAATGAGTAATAATATATGATAACAAATATTTCAATCAATCATCACTATCATCCTCCTCATCAATGCTATCACTACTATTTCTTGAAGTTTCTGAATCTTTTTCTTCTCTACAGCCCTCATCTTCTTCGGATGCATCAGCATTAACCTCAACTTCTGTAACACCTTCTGCATGGAGTTGAAGTGATTGGTACGCAGCTAAATCTATAGCTAATGAAGAGCCTTGCATTATGGGGGGGTCATCATCTTGAAAAATGTCATCAATCTCTGCTGAAGATGAGGTTGATGAGGTGTCAATAAGATGTCTAGATTTTATTTTACATGCTGTGAACCATCCCCGAGTAATTCTATCTGTACCCGGATATGGAGTATAATAAACTTGTTGTGCTTGACTAGCAAGGCAAAATGGCTCTCCTGTTGAAAGTTGGAAGCTTGGATTGACATCAACAATTCCGTGTTTAACATCCACGCGTATTCCCCGTCTCGTGTGATACCAATCACAATTGAATAAGACTACAGTCTCCTGTCGGCCTGAGTGTCCATAATACAATAACTCGATAATCTCTTTTAAGACACCATAGTAATCAATTTCATCTTCAGAATTGATGGTGGTTC